CCATAAAATGCTCGATTTCATTGTTTTATTTCCAAGTAAGCAGATTGTTTTATTCCAATTCAATTTTGATGCTTTGTCCCACCCCCACTCATCTCACAGACTCCTCTTTTATATGCATAATATTTTTTCTATAAATATAAATTTAAGAGTGGACCATCTGCCATAAGTTGTTTAGTGACTGTTTTTTTTTTTCAGTGAGTGATAATACATGTAATAAATAAATGGAATCACAGAATTATAATATTCTATATAAGGCAACATAAACAGAGCTCCTGAAATTCTGTTTTGGCTTCTGGTGTCGGTGCCACCCCATGTAGTGGCCCCCTCATGGCTACCCCATGGAGGCGCCACTGGTCTGCACGAGTTCCTGCTCGGACATCATAGGCGTAATTTGCAGGGGGGTTTGGGGGGTTATGACCCCCACAATAAATTGATCCAGTCAAAAATAACCCCAATAAAAAGACATTGTTTGCTCAAACGCAATAGAAATTAACTGGTTAAGTAGACAGATGCAACTCCCTTGTTGTCTTTATGTAACTTTGACCTGATTTAAAAATTTTCAATGTCATATATCAACGTTTTGAGCATAATTACTAAAAATGGCATGCAGGGTTTTAGAGCATAACCCCCCCAATGGTAGACCTAAAGTTACACCCTTGTCTGACATTAATGACATCTGCTTATTGATCACTTCAAATGTTGTTTCAACATGTCCTGCTTTCTCCTAAATTCTCATGTCCGTGTCCTAAAAGGTAGACAAAGCCAGCGCTATCATCACCATCATGAGGCTGTAGCAGACAGTTATTATTAACTGTGCTGCGCTAAGAGGATTGCTTCCTGCACTTTCAGCCTTCTCGCAGTTATTTAAAGGGAAGCTTGTGTTGCCACCCACTCCCACAGCTTTGGAGAGATAGAGAGTGTGGACGAAAGGATTGATGGCCGAGCATAAAGGACACAAGAGGAGGGGGGGAAAGCCGTGCTGGTGTGTTTTCTCAGGGTCTCGTCAGCACAACATAGTGTGCGTCACGGAGGGGTGACAGCAGGCTGGTCCCAGCTCAGCTGCTGCTGCTGGAGGGGAAAGCACAACCACAGGGGAGGGCAGGGGAGCTGCAGCCATGGCCAGCCAGCAGGACTCAGGCTTCTTTGAAATCAGCATCAAGTCCCTACTGAAGTCGTTGAGTGGAAGTGAGTAGTTTGCCCTCTTTGTTGTTGTTGAGCAGCAGATGGACCTGACTGACTGAAGCTGTTTAACCTTTTTTTAATTGTTCATTTCAGAAGCTGCAAACTTAAGATGCTCTCTAAAGTTATATCTCATCATCTCACTCTCAGATTCTCCTGAGCGACGTGGTTCTGCATGAAAAGTGCTGCTGATGCCTCAGAACGTTCAGGGTTTATTTCATTTGTCAGAATGTAAACAGCTCCTGAGTGCAAGGACACAGTAATAGGATTAGTGGAGGTTCAGCTCGGTTGCATGTTCTGTGCAGAGGCTTCACTGCCTTCAACTCAACCCACTATAGCAGGACAGGATGCCTTCCTGCTTCATCACTGTCCTGCTGTGAGTTAAAGAGAAGCTACAGTAAGACCAAACAGCAGAGATAACAAACTGACAGGGCACTTAACAGATTTCATTTTAAGTGAACAAACTGTAAATGTGAAAATGCAGTGTGAAGGCTGAGTGCTTATAATGACTCTTCTGAAAGTTGCAGAAGAAGCTGCAGCTGAGTTGTTAAAGCTTAAAGAAGCAGAGCACTACCTAAAAGATATAAAGCTAACAGGAGTTAAATCTTGCTAAAATCCAAAAGTAGCAAAAACACTGACTGAAAGCTAAAAGTAGAAATCACTAGCTAATTACTAAAAGTAGCAAAAAGAATAAAAGTTACAAAAAGCGAAGTCATGTCATCCATCTACTAAATCACCTCTGTTGTACATGTTGGTATAAGAATGGTTAAAATAACACAAAGACTAAAAAAACAGCTAGTTTGCAAAAAACATACAGAAAAAAAAAACAGCTAAACAATAGTGTGAATGCTGAATAAGCCTCTTTCAAACAGTGAGATGTCTTTTAGCACAGCTGACTCTGTTTGTAAAGAGATACCACAGAACAAGGTGTCCCAGGCTACATGTCCAACACCAACCCATCTCCTGATGATATTGCATAATCCTCACAGTAGGTCACTTTGCTGAAGTGATAAAGGCCCCGGCAGCACTTCATCAGCATTTAACATTTTTCATTAAATATGCTCTTCTCTTAATCTCAGCTCAGGCTTGGAGGTTTTATGTAATAGACAATAAAAGTGGCAAAAGGAAAAAAAAAGTCTGAAGGATCTAGATTAATCTAACCCTGCAAATAATAAATTGGCTCATATTATGAAAATTAGACTGAACTTGTCATTGTTTAATTTATAAAATGACCTGGTTTGTGTGTGTGGGTGCAACTACAAGAGTGGTTTCCTGCTGTTTGTCAGATGCTGTTTGCACTGGGACCAAAACATTACCAGCCTCAATAACCCTTCAGGCTTTGGCCTTTGATAGGTCTGTGTGTTCAGTGTCATACAGCATCACAGACCCACTATTGTGCAGCTGCAACATCTGCAGGTCCAGTGTCCACGTTCTCTTTTAAAAACAACCTTTTAATCTCTGTGTCAGTTTCACTTTTTCGTTGTTTCAACGTGCTTTAGTCGCATGCTGGGCAGAGCTTCTGTTCTATTTATGAGGAGCAGAGATGTTGGTAGTATTTATTTATACAGATTGGAGTTGATGTTGTTGAGCTGTAAGTTGCCAAGTGCGGGCTTTTAAACACTTAGTTATATAATTGGCCTGAAAAGTTCTCACACAGCAGGCTGCCACACGCAGCATGATGTCAGCTCGCTGAAACGCTGCTTAGTAGTCAGGAGTTTGAGATGATCAGTTAAATCTGCCTTTCCATGAACCGTTTTCTCTCTCTTTCTTTTTTTGTAAAGGGGCAATATCATGTAAAATCAACTTTTTTTGAGTTTTATATCATGTTATAATGTTATACTCTCATAAAAACATGCCCAAAGCCTTACTTTGACTCATTCATGCATGTTTGAGAAATCCTGCAGCGTTTTTAGGCAGCCATGCTGAGGAGCAAAACGACAGGTGGGGACCAAAAACACCTTTTGGTACCAGAAACACCCCTGGGACGTGTCTTTAAGCCGAACTTCCTCATGGCAGAGCACACCCCCTCCCCCTTCCCCACACAGCCCGCCCATGACTCCTGCAGGCTCTCGGGTGAAAGTGAAAGTGAAACCTAACTGTCTGCTGAGCTCTCATCATTAGTTCTCACTCAGTGAAGCTCTTTTCAGATTAAAAATACCTTTGAGGAAATTTGTTTTCAGACGCCGAGTAAACTGCATCATGGCAGCCCCCCACACTGAAATGGGCAAAACGGAAGCGGTGGTTCTTAAAGAGACAGTTGCCAATTTCAAGGCGTTTGGAAGAGGAAATGATGAGAACACAAGTTTATTTTCTATTTAAACATAAAAACAGCATTTTAATAACAGCCAAAGGTGACATAGATACTTTATTATGGTATAGTATTTAAATATATGCCTGAGAAACACATAATGTTGGCCCTTTAAGATTTAAACTTGCTGTAGTACAATCATTTTTGTGTGTTTTTTCAGCTCAGATTCAGCTCAAAGGCTTTTTAAAATGTTGTCTGCTACCTTTTAAGCCAGAGTTTTAAATTGAAATCATTTTTAGGTTAAGAAAAGGATGAAGTTAAAACCATTTAGGTCAAGCCAATGCATAATCTCATGTTATATTGTCATGCAATGAGTCGTTTTCTATCAAGTAAAGTTGTAGGTGAATTGTGAGTTTGGATTTGTACTGACATTTTTAGTCAAAGTGGCATACCTTGATACTAGCTGGCTCATTTCTTCCTCCTACAATTTGTGCTGAAGCAACAGCTTCTTGCTTCTCCTTTTGTTTTGACCCAGTTATTCTGCTCGTGGGGGGAAAAAAAGGTAAATATTATACAGCAGGGTAGAAAAATGTGTTACAAAGCGGATTTTTCACTTTCTCTGACGTCAGTGTTTCTTACTGTCTGAACAAAGACTTCTGTCTTCATCCTGGAATGTGTAGTCCAGTTAAAGAAGTCAGGGGTGTCTAAATATACACCCACACTGTTTCACAAACTGCTGCTAAAGTGGCTGTTTACTTACTGGGTATGTCTCCGAGGGGCTACAGTATGCTTACACGTCCGTGTCTATGTGAGGAAGAGAGACACTGGTTACTGTTTGCTTTGTATTGTCCTCTCAGGAGCACCGCCATGCTCAGGGTGTTTCCAGTTTGCCGATGATGTCATCCACGCTGTGGCCAAGCTCCTTGTTTGCACAGTCACATGTCACGCTTTGAATGGAGCCCGGAGGAGCAGAAAAGGCTTTGACATGTTGCTTTATCTGTCAGTTGAAGAAATGGACGTGGGTGTATTTAGATCAAATAGTGCTGGTTTTATTCGATTACGTTTACTCTGTTTTTGTGTGTGGTGTGTGTGTGTGTGTGTTTATTACAGTGTTGAAGTCTGGTAATTATTAACTGGGTAGGTTCACAGACTCATCATTCCTGGGATGTTCTCTAAAAATCCTCCCCTTTTTTGCTTTTGAAAATTAAAAGCCTAGGACTCCATCCGTAAAGGAACGCATTTTGTAAATGTCAGCCGGGCACACATGCGGACACACACACAAAAAAAGCAAAACAAGAATGAAGGAAACACATTTTTGCCTCTGCGTTTGGCAGTGGACAATAAGTTGTCAGTACACAGAACAGAGCCTGATGAAGAGTGGTGTTTACACTCTGGAAGTCAGTACCTCAAGCCTGAGATGTTCAGGGGAATAGAGGCCTGCTTTGTAAATATAGTGTTTACCCAGTGATAAATATAGTCACTCAGCTATGTCACCATAGCATATTGGACCTCATCACTGTGAGCTAAAAATTCCCTCCTGACCCTCCCTGTTGGACGACACCAGTTGGTCACAAGGCTGGAGAAAGTCATCGCAGAGGGAGCTCAAACAGACAGAGAGAAAGCAAGGAAGAGAGAATCACTCCCGCTTTTAAAACGTACCTGTCGCTGCGTCTGCACACCATGGGAGCTACATCTAGAAGAACAGAACCAGGCGACACACAGGACATGGAGACTGGTGGATTCTGTTAGCGAACTGTTTGTGGTTCAGGGAAAAACCCTGGATGCCATATCCTCTTACCCTACTATGAACGGCCTGCCTGTGTGCTGGAGTAAGTCCAGTGTCATCAGCTTCATCAAGGGTCTGGGTAGGTGCTGAGCTGCCCCCGAGTGAGGGAAGCCTGTTCTGAAAGCCATAAAAGGTTGCCACACATGCTAAGCATTCCTTGAAAGATGTTTGGATACTTTGTGTCCTTAGAAGACCTATGGGGGAAAAATGGTATCAAAACATTTCCTCAACTTCTTCTGAGGCTGAGTTTCTGATGTCTTCATGCTATAACATGTACCAGTGTGCAAAATCTGAAATCTGGTTTCATTTTCTTGTCTTATTGGCTAAATTGAGCTGGTTACAGCAGCTAATGAAGCAGTTTCATTTTGATAACTAATTAACCCTTGTGCCCTTGGATGGTGTCCAAATTCAAGGGCCGCATCATTCAAAGGCCGAGGTTGTTGGCCACTTTGGTCACTGTGCCGCGCCAAAGGCTGTCCAAATACGAAGGTTCCCCCAATTGCTTTCCACAAATGTGTCTTTGTTTTGCCCCGATTTGAGGGACTGGTCCAGTGGATCCTTCTCGGTCCACCCCTAACCAAAAATGTAATGCGGGTCAACTGGGAGATCATTTTTGCTTGTAATGGCAGACAAAGGAGAGAAAGGAGTACAGTTTTAAATAAAAATCTGGCAGTATAAAAGTTTAAAGTGGTTATGTTAGACTTTCATGTTAAGCACAGACATGTTTTCCAATAACACTCTTGTCAAATCATGGTAAATCAGCTCATATAATTGGCCCCTTAGTTCTTCATGTATTGCCTCAAAGCTATTTTTGTTAATTTATAATATTACTAATAATATATTAATATTTTGCTATTTTCAATCTATTTTTTGCTTTTGTTTAGCATTGTTAGCATCGTTAGCATCATTGCTAGGCGACAGGAAACACCGGGGTAATGGCAGCAATAAAGCTGAAGGCTAGATCTTCACAGCCACTTTCTTCTGGTCTTTGCAGTCAAAAAAAAGAACCCAGCCTACCTAGACCGGGTCCTTTCGAAGGGTGCAGCCCACACGGCCATTCACTTTTTCATGACATCACTGTTGAAATATAACTCTTATCAAAAAACTTATCAAGCATTTTGGTTCCCTCAAAAGCTAATGGCATGTAGAAATGAAAACATCAGCTTGTGACTGTGGTGTTTTAATTTCCTTTCTGTGCCCTGTTCTGTGTAACAATAGGAAAAAAATCTGACTCAGGCCAAATTAGCACACTTTGGACATCCCCCCTCTGGAAGGCCCAACATTGGAGGTTTTTTGTCCATTTTTGGATAACTCCAAGGACTGCCCTGCTCGGGGATCTCCTGTGGCTGATCCAGACCTACTTGTTCATACTGAAATTAATAATGTTCCTTTTCACAGATGTGATTCCCATCTTGTGTTTGTGTGTGTGTATTTTCCTCAGCTTCACCTGTGGGGAACGGATACAATAAACCTCCCGTCCCTCCGGTCAGCTGTCCTCAGGGAGAAAAAGGCCCCCCAGCCATGATGCCCATCAGCATCGATCCAGAGAGTCGACCAGGCGAGTACGTCCTCAAGAGTCTGTTCGCCAACTTCACCACCCTGTCAGAGCGCAAGATCCGCATCATTATGGCTGAGCCACTGGTGAGTGAAAAAGAGCGAGACAAACCTGATTTTGTTTTTCTGAGGTTTGTTGTTCTTCAAAGATAAAACCTAAAAACACAAACAGACTGATTTGTTATTCAGTGAGTTACTATTTATTTAAGCTTTATAGCTAAGTAAATAGTAGAAGTTTATTTAGATAATTTATTTAAATAATCATTTGTAAATGTGTCTATTCTGTCTGTTGATGGCATTTCTATTGATGTGTGTCTCAAGAGTCCCTGGGCAAAACACTTCATCACAGGATGTCTCTGATTTGCAAATGTGACTCGTAGTGTAAAGTACTTTGACTGGTTAGAAAGACTAGAAAAGTGCTACAGTGAAGTCCATTTTCAAGATAAGTCAAAAGATTAAAGTCCTTATAGAAATTTTACAAGTCCATGTGATGTTGAGTGGGTCTGGAACACCTCTGTGTCTTAAGTGGACGGACCATTTTCAGTTTTACGGAGTTTGATTTTAAGGAAGGCTGTAAATTATTAACCTCAGTCAGTTTGGAAATGTTAATTATGGAGACAAGACTAGTAGCTTTAAGCCTTTTTCTAATCTTTCCATGAGGAGTGCAGAAAGGACATTTCCTTTCTTTTATTTCATCGGTCAAGTTCTGTCTATGTTATTTATGTCAGTGTATTGTCAGCATTCATGTTAAAAAAAAGTTCACCACGGTCCCTCATGATCCACGACCTCTGATCAACATTCAAACTGTTCTCAACTTGAACATTACACAGCAGAAAATGTAAGTTATCTGAATTAGGGACAAAATTGGAGCCTGGGTTGTTGTAGCTGCCTGACAAAACCCGACTCGGCAGGATGTGCTGACATTTTTTTGTCACTCCAGCTCATTTGGCTCCTCCTGGGTAAGCATTTGTCAAAAAACTAAAAGGTTCATCAAAAAGTGGGGCTTAGCTGGTGACCCAGATAGAAGCTAAAGGGAGAGAGGGCTTCTACAGCCCACGCAATGACAGTGTCACGCACATCAGACTCTGAGTTACTTTGGATTAATCAGCATGTAATGTGCTGTGATGTGCTGTCTGACTGATAGGAGGGGTGTGTGGGGCAAGGCATGTAGCAAAAAGGTAAGCAGATGCTTTAGTTTGTGTCTAATTTACTGGATTTGGAAGAAATCATCCTACATCCATCTACTTTTAGGTAAAAGGAGTGATTGGAGCAAAAAGTGTCATTTTTTAAAAACAAAATCATTATTTTCCAACTTTCTGTTTGTTTGAAATCTAGAATGGTTCAAAGTTTAATAAAAATGCCAAGGCAAGAAATACTTTAAAATGTTTTTAAGTTATTTAGTCAACTCATGGAGAGCACAAACACATACACTATCTGTGTTAACATTAAAGGGGCAATATTATGTGTTTCTCAGGCATACATTTAAATACTATACCATAATAAAGTATCTATGTCACCTTTAGCTGTTATTAAAATGCTGTTTTTATGTTTAAATAGAAAATAAATTTGTGTTCTCATCACTTCCTCTTCTAAACGCCTTGAAATTGGCCTCTGTCTCTTTAAGAACCACCTTCCGCTTCTGTCTCGCTCATTTCGGTGTGTGTGTGGGGGGGGGGGTGGTCGGGAAGCTATGATGCAGTTTACTTTGCATCTGAAAATACATTTCCTCAAAGGTATTTTTAATCTGAAAAGAGCTTCACTGAGTGAGAACTAATGTTGAGAGCTCAGCAGACAGTTTAAGTTTCACTTTCACTTTCACCCGCAGGAGTCATGGGCGGGATGTGCGGGGAGGGGGGAAGGGGGCGCTCCGCCATGAGGAAGCTCGGCTTAAAGACACATCCCAGGAACCTTTCTGGTATCAAAAGGCTTTTCTGGTCCCCAGCTGTCGTTTTGCTCCTCAGCAGGGCTGCCTAAAAACGCTGCAAGATTTCTCAAACATGCATGAATGAGTCAAACTAAGGCTTTGGGCGTGTTTTTTTATGAGAGTATAACATTATAACATGATATAAAATTCAAAAAAGTTGATTTTACATGATATTGCCCCTTTAAAACTCATAATAAAACCGAAGTCATCTGCAGAGCTATTCATTCAGCAGGATATGAGAGAACTGACCTTAAATCACTGAAGACTATTATCTCAGATGATAGAAGACTGTAATAACAGGAGACGTCATAAATGTCCCATCTCTAACGTTGGACATGACCCGGCTTTCTAATGCCAGGCAGCAGACTGATGGATGACTCTCTCATTAGCTGAGTTTAATAATAGTCCCACAGTCTTTTCTGACAGGTCAGATGGAGTTAGGGGCTTCAGAACAAACTTCAAAGAACTTTGCTGGTTTAATTCTGTTGGAATATGAAAATACAACTTAACCGACCCCTTTTTCTGTTTTTTCAGGAAAAGCCATTAACAAAGTCTCTCCAAAGGGGAGAAGATCCTCAGTTTGACCAAGTAAGTAAAGAGATATAATGTTTACTAAAAATAAATGAGAATTTTTGAGCTGTATATTATGGAGGCTATGGTGAAAAAAAAAAGAAAGAAATCAAAGTTTTATGCGCACAAGAAACTATCTGGGCTGAACAACTTTAAATATTAAATTCTGTTTGTTTCGAAAGAGTTAAAAATTGTAGCTCGCATCCCAAAAGGTCTTTCAGATTCATTCAAGGGCAGGAGTGTTTATCTTGTGAGCTGGCAGCAGATCAGCACAAGGTGTGTCCTGCAGGTCTGAGGCTTTGCAGAGAAGGACCTTTCACAGCCACAGAGGTGTGTTTGTGCTGCTGCGTGAGGCCATTCAGCAACCTCACAGAGCCGGGATTCTTCTCCAGCCTGGTGCTGAATGAAGGGCCCGCTGTGTTCCCCAGTCAGACTAGACTCTCCACCCCTTCCTGTGTGCCCAGCCCGTTCCTTCCTTTCCCGCTCCCTCCCACCACACCGGGGAAGGCTGCCCCATGGGCATGGTCCCAATGAGCACCAGCTCACCACTCGGTATAATTTTATCCCCTGTAAATTCGCCTTTAAAATGCCCTAACTTGGTCTCACACTTGGTAATGGTTAAACAACCGTATCAGAAGGAGATGTAAGTGAATCCATGTGCGCTGTTGTAAGTTTGACTAAAATTGCAGCACAGATAAACAACGGAAACACTGATTAACATCTCTTACTTTGGTATGTTAACTGCTCAATACTAATGCACATTTGTTTGATGTGTGTGTGTGTGTGTGTGTGTGTGTGCCTGTGTGTGTGTGTGTGTGTGTTTTGCAGATGATAAGCACCATGAGCTCATTGGCTGAATACAGTCTTCCCTCCATCCTGCGCACTTTATTTGACTGGTACAAAAGACAAAACGGCCTAGAGGAGGAGCTGCACAAGAGTCAGCCAAGAGCCAACCCCAAGTCCAAAAAGTGAGCAGAATGATTGCAGTTATTGGGTATTGTGCATAAAAATTAAAACATGACAGTGAAAGTTATATATATTTTAAAATTGCAACATGTTTAGCACCTGTTTCTGTGTGTGTGTGTGTTTGTAAAATATTTGATGAACCGCTGAACAAATTTTAATGAAACACTCAATGCTCATCTACATACAACGATCTGCTCTTAAAGCGCTGTCATAAAAGCGGTGAGCAACATGAATTTCTTTAAAGGGATCCATGATTAGTTGTAACATTAGATTTTATTTGATAAACATATATTTTAACTGTAAAATAAAGGCTATAAAAATACTGTAAGCTGTTTAGTTTTGTAAATTTTTTAAAATACATTACACGGGCAGGGCCATTTTATTTACACACACAGCATTCTGGGTAAATGATGACATGGATAGGTCCTCGGTGTGAGTGAGCTATATCCACCCTGAAGGTTAATCTTGGACAATATCTGATGATCGACTCTTTTAAATTAAACCAGAGAGCGTTGACAGAGAGGAGAAGGTAGAAATGACTCAGTCTGTAACAGAAAATATGGATGGAGGACCTCAGTTTAGCTTGTTAGTTTGTCACGGTAGCACCGAGCTAATACATATAATGCTGCGTTCACACCGAACGCGATTTCAGCTTCAAAATCGCAGCCAACGCTGAAGTTTGAAGC